TACCGAAAATGAAATGTAAGTACTTACTATTCTAAAACCTACCATATTCAACTGAGCCCCACTATGGTTGGGGCTCAGGTGAGAACATTTTGAGAAGTTGAGATTCGTTAGATGCACAAAAAGCACTTGAATAGTACAAAATTTACGATATCCACCTGAGCCCCAACATGGTTTTGGGGCGCAGATGCGTCAATTGCAAGAATTTGAGACTTTATAGATGCCCCAAAACAACAATCGGATACTTAAAATTGTATGAAAATTTTAATCCATTTATCTCAGCCCACCAGGGTTGAGGCTGAGGTAAAACAATTTTAAGAATTAGAGACTTTTAGATGCAGGAAAATGGCAAATACATAAAAAACAACAAAAGTTACTATCTCCACAAAGGCCTATCCCCATCATGGAGGTGAGAAAATGTTAAAAATTGGGGAATTTTGATGCCGGAAAATGGCAATGTCATACATAAGAACTAGGAAACTTACTATATCCACCCGTCATGTTTGTGGCTGCATGAGATTAAGTTGGAGAATGGCACTTTAATACTTAAAATTTATGTTGGTTATTTTTTAACATTTGAAAAGGGGATGTCAACGGGACGCAACTGCCAAAAAACTTGGCAGCGAAAGGACGCTACCAATAAACAATCAACAAACTACCGGGTTTCTGGGTTGATTTCCAAGGTACTACATGGCTCAACTATTTTTTACTTTAGATTTAATTGGTAAAAATCGCACACAAATCATACTACGTCACTGACGACGCCGGGGACGGCCACTCGATTTTGAGATTAATTTTCCAAATAAAGTTATACTAAATAACTTCTTATGACGAACTATTGTCTTCAATTGCCTTTGTTGGTCATTAACTGTCATTTTATCTATTTTTTGGTGATATTACCATTCTCTATAATCTATAAAACACCCACATAACAACGTCACGTTAGATCGATCGGTGGGGACGCCGTGGTGACGCTGGTAGGATCAAATTTCGTCGGAAGGTATCAAGATGATAAACAGTTTAATTGGACTAAATACATGCTTACCTAAGATTATACTAACTTTGGTTTCAAATCAAGGTCAAGTAGTTAAAAATCACCTTATTATGCGAATTAGCGCCCCTTAACTGATCATCGAGTCCGTTTTCAGCCTTCCCCCATTCCTCGGAACTACAAGGTATATCTCAGTTGAAGTCTCGTTATATTTACAAAACAAACAAAAATAGATAACAATAGTAAATGTGTTTTAATATCAAATCGTCAAATAACACGACCACACCTGTCTCTTATACACATCTTGTGCTGCATACCTTGCTTTGCCATTTTCGATAGGTGAATAGGACCTAATTGTAACTTTAGAGCACTGGTGAATATTTATTACTTCGTAATTTGCATAACGAATTATTTATAAACCATGCTTCCTACGATGTCATTATTTAGATATAATGGCACTCGACTTCAACGGTTATTTTAGGCCTATATATAATTGGAAGTAAAAACCATTATTTAGATATAATGACCTTGACACGATAACACGTGTGCATTACCATATATGAGCTTGAAGTCCAAGCATTATGGTTTTGCGACAGGTATTATTTATATATAATGAAATGTAAAAGCAGTTATTTATAAATAATGAGTTTGAAGTGAATTCGTTATTTATATATAATGAAATCAGTGAACTTATTATATATAAATAACTGTAAGTTACTTTTCATTATTTATATATAATGATTTGTTACCTTTTTATTATTTATATATAATGAAGTCAGTGAACTTATTATATATAAAAAATTGTAAGTTATTTTTCATTATTTATATATAATGATGTGTTTCCCCTTCCCTATTTATATATAATGAAGCCATTAACCTTATTATATATAAATAATGTTGGGTTAGCCTTTCATTATTTATATATAATGTAATCAGTAAACAAATTATATATAAATAATGAAAGGTTAATGCAATTATTTACATATAATCTTTTAGACGTAAATGCACTATATATAAATAATGGGTGATCTAGTCAATTATATGTTAAATAACAAATTACATATAAATTATTTTGTTAAATAATAAAGTTACACTCTGGCGCCTCATACATTTGTACCCTCTAGCTACCCGAAATGAAATAGTAGACTCCAAACAGACGTAGCGCGGTTATGGAGATCAAACATGACCGAAGGCATACTTTTTATATACATGCTTGATGTGGGACTTTCCCGCAATTCCCAACCTCAAAACCCTCGATTTCTCCCTGCAACATTCGTTGTACCTACGGACGACCTGCGGGCTTAGCTGGTAGTTGAGAGTAAACGATGTGTAAACCTACATTTATAGCCAATGGAAGTGTCTAAGCCTAAGGAATAGCAGTTTATCAAAGCTTAGGTAATAGCCCTATTATAAGGGTTTTTTATATTTTATTAATTTCCTAATCTAGGCTAGGCTAGGTGGGCCCAGGCCTAGGCCTAGGCCTAGCCCTAGCTAATTACTGTAAGGCCACTGGCCTACTAGTGTTTAGGCCTAAGCTAGCCTAGCTACTTATTTGAAAGCAGCAGAGTAGGGTGGCCTAACCTAGGGCCTAGGCCTAGCTATCCTCGGCCCTAGTTAAAACAAAATATAATAATGCTGTGAGCCGGTGTCGAAAGATGTGGTACCAAATGTTTTTATAATAAACATCATGTTTATTTTGCAGTTACGTAAGCAAATGCATGCAGTGTCAGTGAGTGAAGCATCATGTTGTGTGTGTGATGTGGGCCCTAGGCCATAGTAATAGGACTAGGCCTATACATATTTTTATTTGGTCTTCTTATATTAAAATACATGTATACCTGCCAACCTTGCTGGCGTCCAATGCGCCAGACAAAAAAAAAATGGAATTTGTATCTAGCGCCCTCTATGTAAAAATCAAAATATAGTGTGTCGTCTGTGTTGTTTTTTTTTTTTAAATTGTAGTGATCGAACTGCTAATGATTACAGTTGTTGTTCGGTAAACCTTCGTTAAAGTAAATTTATATGGCTTGTATTCTCAATCAAATGAAGAATTCACATCATTTTTATGAAATTTATTAAGATAATCAGCCTAAACATTTTATCTAATGATGCATGAGATAATACAACATAAGCGTGAGACGTAAAAAGTGGATGCTCAAAATGCGAAACTTGCACATTATGTGTGAGAGTTGGCAGGTTTAACATGTTGAACATTGATAAATATCAAATCATTTACAAAAAAAGGAAAATACTAAATATTCCTTATACACCACATAAAATTTATTACAGTAGATCTATACAAAGTTCAAAAGATTATAAACAATGATAACCGTCAGAGGGAATTGTTGGAGCCTGAATGTCATGGTTGAACTTAACAATTAAAAGGACATTAACTTCATAATTTGAGCTTCATGCATTAATTAATGATAACTTTTTAATACTTTTAAAGTTTAAAATATTAAAGTAGGAAAAGATCAAGTTAGGCCTCTAATCACAAAAAAAGTCAATGCAAGTGCATTCAGTTCTCCATATATATGTGCTCTATAAAGTCAAATATTATTATTATATATTACTATTTAAATCAATATTTAAAATAATTCTGAAGATCTTTTTGAATTTTGTTTTGGCTGAACCGCTGTTTTTTTTTTTGTTTTTTTTCCCCATTTTTGTATGCATGGATTGTGAATATTGTCATTCATTTAGGTAAGTCCAATAGAAATGATTTATTTGTCTAATACTTAAAATCAATATAGTGTATTATGAGATGTTCATTGATCCAAAAAGCTTGCGGGTTTTTCCACTTTTGCTATTTGAGGCGCACATTCAGTGTAGATGAATGGTGAAACTGTTGTAGTAAATCATGCTAAGTGGTAAGTAAACAATATACTTGTTTAAACATCACCACTCAACAGAAAAACAAAAGTGATATAAGACATTTTTATTATTTTTTAATATTGGTTATCAATTAATGATGATGTAGGCCCTAATCGGCTTGATTGACAATTTAGATACTGTAGGCTAGTGTGTAGGCCTTAGTTAGATCAGGGAGTTGTGGTTAGATAGTAGGCATTATTAACCCTTACATACTGGACTGAAAAACACATACACTACTTACAGTACACTATTTCAGTCAATCCTGGACCATGATATTTACAAGGGAATAAAATTGGCAGTGACATTGATGAATTTGTTTTGCTTATTGTATCATGCCTTTATTGTAAATGAAGTCAATTTTAATAATAAATTTGAAGTTAGGTTTACTGTAAGTGTTTAAAGTCCAATTTATTATTTTTATCTGTTAAATAATAATTAAATATCAAATTGTATCTTGTCTGTGTTAGGAAAATAGGTGCTTAAAAAATATAATAATATATGCTTACTTATTTTTACATTGATTAGCTTTCACTCGCAAAAGAAAAAATTCACAGGATGCTAAAAATAATACCATCCTAATATGTTTGCTGAACTATGAAATATATTGGTGGTGTACTGAATTATCTGTGTCTTTGGTAACTATTAGTGATACTAATGAATTTGCACCTATAATAGTAAGACCATGGTAAATAGTTAATTCGATTCAATATTTATTTACTGTCTGAGAGAGTTCAAGGTTACTGTATAACATAAACAGTATTCCAATTCATTCTAGAATAACCTTATTAATTTCCTTTATGAGTTGTTAAGTAATTATCTTGGTTGATTCCTCAATCAATTGAATTTTTGTATTGACTTTACATCTTACATCTGAAATTTTATCTAAAAAAAATATTGACAATCTTCCAAACGTATGAATGACTTCATTTTGGAATTTCCATTGTGGAAATCCCCACCGATGTGGAAATGCAAAATTAGTTTGACATGTCCCAACTAGCATTCAGGGCGGAAGATTAGAGATACACAGTAGGACGTTATCATGTGTCTCTGATTTGGAATGATTGATAAAAAACTTTTTTACGGAATATAATTTCGTTCTAAGTTATTTATTAAATAACTGTATCATGAAGAGGCAATTATTAGTAGAAAGTGGTGAATGCTTTGGTAAGTATTTTTTATTTTTATACCAGAATGTTGTTGTGTTTACTTGCTCTAGAAGGACTTGTGCGTTATGCTTCTCACCACAGTCTGTACGAGAGACTATATGTATGACCTGAGCTCAGTGTACGTAAGGAGAACACTCATAAACTTTATGAATTACTTAAAGACCAATGCCGACAAATGACCAACATCTAAAATCAATAGTGCTGAAACCAGAGTGCTTAATAAATATTTAAATTATTATTATTATTATTGTTTATTATTATTCTTGTTATTGTTATTATAATTTTTATTATTATTATAATTATTATTATTATTATTATTATTGTTGTTATTATTATTATGTTCTAAAACCTACCTTAAGGGGAACTTAGACAACGGAAAAAATTACAGAACAATTTAAAAAAAACGACGTTAAGGGGAAAATAACACTAAAGATATTCCCCTTAATTCCGATTTGTAAAATAGGCCTACCTCCTCCATTGAGGAAAAACAAAATTCTAGTCATTTTAACAGAATGTGAGAATTTTAAATCAATCTGGGAAGCAGCCTTCACATTTCGGGAGAATTGGACCTCGTCCTGGCGCCACCATTTAACAGTACGTCTTATACAGAGTATTTGGCAAATTTTTAAATAATAGTATAAGCTCCATACTTACTGTAAATACTTGAATAAGTGCCGCTCTCGAATAAGCACCTCTCTAAAGCCTCCAAAAATTATTCGAGGATTTACGGTAATATCATTCTTAAGGAGTATAAATTATTTCTAGGAAAATGCAAGACAGGTTTGTTGGTATGGATTATCTTGACATTGGAAATGTGGATTTTCTTTACGCAGAGGAAGGAATTTTTCTATAATGGTGGGGGACAGAGCTGAAAACTTTCCCAAGAGTTGAAACGTTTTTCCCAGGGGTGAGGAATTTCCTTGCTAGAAAATTCCCATGCCCCTTGACATTGAGATAATGGCAATTCAAATAAAGGATGCTTATCAAGCATCAAAATACTAATAATATAATAATAATTTTCTACTGCAAAATTGAAAGAACATTACGAAATTAATCTAATTAATTGTAGGCCTATGTATATTGATTTTATTTGGTTTTTTATAAACTTGTTTGTGTATTTTTATTCTTTTTTTTTATCCTTTTTAATCTTATAATTTTAAATTCTATTTCTTTGTTTTGCAATAATGATTAAATGTCTCATTTTTAAATTTCTTCTGTTTTTCTTCCTAAGTATTATAAATTTTTATTATATTATATCTTTTATTTTAAATTGCTGTTTCTCTAAGGATGGATTAACTAGCTTGTGAGCTACAGCGATTATAATTGCTTTTGTTAATCCTTGCCTCCTTAGATTTTCAGTTTTATTCTGTATTGTGAATTTTTATTTTACTGTATTTGCAAATTGTAATGTGATTTTTATAAAAGGCTAAATAAAAAATGAATGAATGAATCACTGGACATCAAAGGTTATAACTCTGGTATCGACATTCTACGCGTTGTGTGCATACTTGACTGATTTCATGCCCTGACTATCACAAAAACCATAGCAACCCGAACGATAACTAACCGTCGGTGTGTGACAAACTACCCATGCACATGTCAGTTGTCATGATAATCATGCATTGTGCGGTGATTTCAAAGGCCTAATGATTTTTTTGCACTAAACTTTGGCTTAAATTTTATTTGGTAATTTCAACTATAATTTTACCAACTACAGTACAGTATTTATTTATTCTTTCTTCATACTGACTCTACACTTTCAATAGATAGTACTGGTTTCCAAAGTGGTTCAGTTCTTAACTACAAAATTGTAAAAGCAGATATATACTGTACACATTGTGACCAAAAAAGATTAACTACAAATTAAAGTAGATTTAAAAGGAACATTGAAAGAAACTTAAGAAAAATAAAAAAAATTAAATAATAAATATTAATATGCAAGGTAAGAGAAAATCAGGTTAAATTAAGATGGTATTATTGAGGATTTGAAATAGAATGCTTAAAATTTGAAAGTGTCATAGATTTAAAGTTGGTTTTAGGGTCAGGCTCACTATAAACATGCAATTGAAGTTTAAAAATCAAGAAAAATAAAGTTCAGTTAACAAACTAGGGTTTCTTTAGAACGAAACTTTAATATGTCAAGAACAATTCCCTGAAATCGTAACATTTAACTTCAAATAGTTTTTTCATGGAATAACCTTTAACATTATCAATACATTTATTATGTGATAACGTATGTTACTGAACCAATGTTGAATAATAGATGGTTGTAAGATGATTATCTATAACTGAGTGTAGAATGTACCTACAGTATAAACATACGATGACAAATAAAAAACAAGTGGGGGAAAGTGCCACACCCAAGTAATTACACATTTATATTGTTTTGAAAAATTGATGCTGTAATAATATAATAATATATTTTAATCCAGTTGATACTTTTAATTTTCGCTCACTAAAAGTAAACAAAGAATATATCTTCCCCATTAAAAATCTACGGAGATGCTCTGGTAACAAATGACATAAATTCATTAAACATACACTTCCAATAATAATCGCATTATTTATGTAAATGTTAGTAAAGTAAGTTTTATATAATTATGTAACACCGATCATGTGTCTATCGTTGTAAAATCAAGTAAAATTATAGTTTCTCTTCTCAGTTGTGAGTATATACAGTACATGTCATTAAAAATAAGTGATACTGAAACCTCGCATTCAAAATGAGCACATTTTTCGAAACTATCATAAATTACTATAAAAGAGTATTTTTGTCTATAATCAACAACAAGAACATTTGATTTGTTTTTTATATTTTAGCTATGGTTTTTGAGAAAAAAATCATTGAAGTAGTTGATAATATGTTCTTTTTTTAATGATATGTGGTTAAGCCCCTAGGTTTGCTCGTTCTTTCAATTTGATAAAGTTTTTTAACCTACGTTACCAGGATTACTCATCTAATAAAACATTATAAAGATGATTTGCAAACATACAGTATTTGTTGTCATCATATCTATTTAATGTGTAACGTTTGCTTTCACGAATTTACTTGCGATTATAATGTACACAAAATATTTTAGTGTAATATATGTTACCATCAAAATAAATCAGAAATATATGCAATAGGAATAATTTCCATGAATGATAGCATTCCTATAGAGAGTCACTGTATGTTTAGATATATGTAAAAGAAAGTAAATATATCAGCCACTGCCCATGTTTTTATTAATGATGTTTATTACATGCTATATCATCAATAGCATACGTTACTTTGTGTTTAACATCCGTTACTTTCCACAACGTAGTATTCCTTTCAACTAGGCCTAAGCTATTGCCTGAAACTTTCAATTTAACATTTCATTATAAATATCAACTATATCAACATTGTTAACTAAATATAGTCGAGACACAGCCTATAATAAATACTTATCAAATTGCTTCACTTTAATGATGGACATACTTGTAGGACCAACATTCGGGGGAAACACAAAGTTGGTAAACACAAGGTTCTGGGTGTCAATTGCTCGATGCCATTTTTTCTTAGAAGGTTCTAAAACTTTCATGTGTCGTTGGCGGCGTAAATAAAGTCATTTATAATAGTTTTATGCCCTCTCTATTTCATTATATGGATTAATATTCTAAAACGTAACGTACAGTAGGTTACTGTAACGTAAATTACCTTTCTAATTACAATTACTAATTAAACATGATTACTTAACACTAATGATGATTTACTGACGCTGTATCCATGCTTATTAGTTAACTACTTCTCACGTTTAGTTTGGTTCAACTTCCTAAACTGGTATATGAAGAAATCAGGTAACATATGTTTCACTGCTTAGAAGCGACAATATTTTGCATAGATGGCTATCCTACTTTTACGAATTAAAGATACAGTATTCATAACATCTTTAATACTAAGCAAATATTAGTTATTGCCTTGAAGTTTTCCTGCAATAATATATGTTTTTTCCTGGCAATTATGATTATGTAACGTAAATTACGTGCATTTGGCGACACGGATAAACTTTACCATAACCACACTAAAATCACCTCGATTAAAAAAACTTAAATTACAAATTGACAACCTTCCAACCAGCTTAAAAATCGGCAACTACTGTATAAGCCATGTGGTACACAGCATTTATTGAATGGCAGATTGCTAAAACAGTATTTTTTATCTGGCGACAGACGAATTTTGCATATTCATGACTATAAATATCATCCTAACTCTGTTGTTAGTTATCAAAACTCCATGGAATTTGGTACACTTTTCTAATATATTATGGTCTTTTGAATTTTGGTATTACACTTTCCACATTATCATATTTTGTCATTCCCAGTTGGTGAAATATGGGCGACATAGTTTGCACGATTATAGTGAGCCTGACCCTTTAGTATGATCTTGGAGTTTATTCCATAATTTAGTAGATCGGTATACAAATGTTCTTTTACCTTGCATATTATTATGTGATGTCTGGTGGTTTATGAGACTCACTTTGCAGAAAAAATAAATAATATTTTTGTATCTACTCAAATGCTCATTTTGTGAACCTTAGTCCAACATTTTCAAAGTGACAGTTACGTGTTATATCAGTTTTCACGAATCAAATTGTGGTTTAACAAGATCATGGTCAAAAGAAATCAGATTTAACAGACATTGCAAAGTACCCAAAATTAATGAAATAGTAGCTAACACCATTAAAAGGTATGGCACGCTGTTTAGAGTGGTAAAGAAATGACTAGGAATTCCTCTTTGACATATAGAATATCAACAAAGTTCACAATGTTGTAACACAACTCTCAAATAAACTTCTAACAAGAATCAGGTCTAAAAACAACACAATTTAAAACATTGGTTTTAAAAAAAACCACCCTATTGTCTCGCATACGTAAGCCCTCGCCTTCTCAAACATTCTGTATTGCATCACCCTTTCTTTGAGACCGTGACATCATCAATGTCACAGTTAAAATCGGAAGACTGTACGTCCTGCTGTACGCACACACTATGTTTGCGAGCAGAGACACATCCTGTTGTCTTTCCATTTTTCATGGGGTGAGTATTTTTGGGAATTTCCACACGTTCAAGGTACTTCACACCTGCTGTTCCTACTTCTATAAAATTCATCACCCCTGTCAAAAAGTACACACCATCCCTGCAACAGTGTGTTTTCTTGTGGAATATAATTTATAAGTATCTGAGATTTATTATAGTCCTAGTAAACTAAGTGATTGCCAAATTCCACAAAAATGTTATTGTTTCCCTGACCTGTCATCTTTGAAAAATGGAAACACAAAAAAAAAAAGCCATAATTAAAATTGACTTTTCCATTATAATACAGTACATATCCAATTATGCTTGTTTCTAGTTAAGAAAAAGAAACTGAAGATGGATGATGTGATTCCACTGGCATCAAGTGAGCCCCCAGTGATTCGCCGGGGTTCGGCAGATGCCAGCGTTGGAGATACAACTTTCACTCCAAGAACCTATCAGGTATTACATTTTTTAATGTAATTTGTATTAAACTCTGGTTTTCATTGAAGTGTAAAACATTTGAAAGGTGACTTTGGTGCAAAATGTAGAAAATGCAAGCAAACTTTAGTTACAAGAACATGTTTTTTTCATCTTTTAAGCTTAAAAGTACCTCCAGGCAGAGAACATAGGCGAAGGTGACTTCGGCGCAAAATAAAAAGATAATGGCGGATTCAGAAATTTGAAATAGAGGAGGGTCAGGAAGGCAATTTTAAAGACCATCTGACAGACTGGGACCTCCTTTGAATCAGCCTATAAAAAGTAGATGAAACTGCTAAATTATTGTTTTTTATCAGTTTTTAAAATGTTATGAGTTTAAAATACAAGCAAAAAACATTTGAAAGACGACTTTGGCGCAAAAAATAAAAAGCACAAGAACATTTTTTTAAAAACATATGCTTCATTCTTCAGGTGGAATTGTTAGAGGCTGCACTTAAACAGAACACCATTGTGTGTTTGCAAACAGGGACGGGTAAGACCTTTATTGCTGTGATGCTCATCAAAGAACTTGCGCATCAAATACGCAAAGCCTTTGATGAAGGCGGTAAACGCACCTTGTTTCTTGTAAATACAGGTAAGCAGAACAATTTATATATTGGATTTTATTGTCATTATATTTTTGTTGTCATCAATAGCATCATTATCATCATCACCATTATCATTATCATCCTCATCACCACTATCAACTTCATTTATTGTCATCATTGTTCATCGTCATTAATACCATCATCTTCATTATCATCAATACCATCATCTTCATTCATAAATAACCTTATAAAATAGTTATCATCCATCATTATCATCATCAAGCAGGCCAATGGATCCAGAAATTTGAAATAGAGAGGGGGCCCTTAATGGCAATTTTAAGGATGGAGGGACCAGACTATCTTGCTTGCCAGTCCCCCTTGAATCTGCATTAAGAAAAATACATGCAAACTTGAAAAGGGCATATTTTCAAGCCATAGTTAATATGCCAAAATGCATTAGTGTATTCATGCATTCATCAAATATAGATAAACATCTCATCTCATATTATATAATGTTTTTTCATTCATTATGTGTGCAATTGAGTATACAGCCATCAAAATTGATAGGTTATTTTTGTGCTTCGTACCCAGTAAACTCTTTGGTGTCAAAGTTACAATATGGTCGTAAATCGTGTTGGTCCACTTTAGTTTATTTTTTTACCTTGTTTTGTATTGGTCATGGTTTTGGTTGTGTGCATGCTTAACGTCACGACGAAATACATGAGCAATTATTTCCAAGAAATTACTGACGCCTTTTTTTTCATGTAATAGAACAACTATTGTATGATCAAATACCCCACACAATAATAATAATAATAATGTGGAATATTTAAAACTACTGTATATATCAGTCTTGTTTTTCATTCCTGGCCCAAACCTAGGCCTACTGTACTGTAAGCACGGCCACCGAAAATGGTGCATGCTGTGTGTAGCATAGGAAATGCATTATCGGGTGTGTTTGATAAAACATGTCTACAAAAGCTTAATACTGTCACTGCAGAAGATTTTGGAAGTGCGGCCGTTCCGTTGCAAATCAACGTAACTTGAAATTTTCACTTTTAGAAAAAGATAGAGTTAAAGTTTGCATGTTCGGAACTTTGCAATAAATTGTCGTACCCTTTTTAAATTTTGTAGGATTGTATATTTATAGACATTGTGATTATATGTGAAATTTTAATTACAACCGTTTGTTTATTGAAAAGTTATTATTAGCGATAATTACAGAGACGTTGTTTTGCCTTGGAAAAATGTCAGGCTCGGTATTGTTGCAAGTAAGACATACGGTATTTTTGGAATTTATCATGTTTTGGGGCAATCATATGCATTACCTAGCTCCTTCATACGTCACTGTTAAGAATATTGATATAAAAACATGAATGACAGTTGATTCTGCCTTGCCAAACTCCATCAACTCAAGACAAGTTTTTGACTACCATTCTGAGGCAAAACAATGTATCTTCTTCGTATACTGTATGTACTGAAGTTACATTGTTTTGCCAGGCAAAACTACTATATTTTATTAAAGTTTTGTGCTTAAAGATAGGTGGTGCTATCTCTGAAACGACTCATTATTGATACCTGAAATTTTCACAGCTAATTCAGACGTGTTTAATATGCTCCCAAATGATATCTCAAAATCGACAAAAATGTCAGTTACGATGTTTTACCTCGGGACGGCCGAGTATGAGAAAAGCATAAATTACTTCCCTCCACTCCACAGGAGAAACAATCATACCCTGTGGGCAGCAAACGCATTACAAGCGGCCAGGCTGACGGACCAATTTTATCCAAGGGGGACCAGTTTTAGCTGCTAAAATTGACCCAGAGGACTGATTTCAGTGGTCAAAAGTAGTCCGACAAACAAATTTTGGCAGCCAAAATCAGCCCACCGGACCTTTTTTGGCCAAGACCAATTTTGGCATGACGTGCCTACTAAAGTTTGCTAAATTTTCCTTTTTTTCAGTGCCTTTGGTGAACCAACAAGCTGAGGTAATAAAAAAACATACTAATTTGGAGGTGGGCAAGTATGTTGGTGCAATGAATGTGGATCTGTGGCAGAAAGATCAATGGTTGGAGGAATTCCAAAACAACCAAGTTCTTGTGATGACTGCCCAAATATTCAAAGACATTCTTCAGCATGGATACATGGGTCTTTCAAAAGTCAACCTGATGATATTTGATGAATGTCACCATGCTGTAAAGAATCACCCATACCGAGAGATCATGCGCTTTTTTGACATATGTCCAAAAAAGGACTATCCGCGTGTAATGGGTCTCACTGCTTCCATTTTGAATGGGAAATGTGAGCCTCGTAAACTTGAAGATAGATTATGCGACCTTGAACTAACCCTGAGGAGTGCAGCTGAAACAGCTAATGATGTTGCTGCCATGAGTCGGTACGGCACCCGCCCTAAGGAGTACATTGTACATTGTGACGTTTACAAGGATGAAAGTGGTTTGTTTCAAGAAATTAATGACATCCTGATGAAGACTTTAGATTTTTTCAGCAACTATGGAGGAGAAGTTGATGGTGAGAGGGATCGGGATCCCAGAATCCAACCAAAACAAGCCATTTCAGAATGTCATAGTACACTGTATACCATTGGTCCATTAGGGGTGAAGATAGTTGTTCCAATGCTTGTAGCAGAACTTGAAAAATTAGAAAAACATGAGTTTATGGAATTAAACAGATTGTTTATTCAAACTGCTCTTACAACCCTCAAATGGGTTAAAATGCTTTGTGATGAAAAGATTAAAAATAAAAAAGATCAAACCAGCTTAGAGTTTGTGCCGCATAAAGTAGTACGACTACTTGAAGTACTTAAGGAGTTTCGTCCTGATGAAGAAATGATGGTTGATGGAGCAAATTCTTGTGCCGGTCACAGAGAATCTACAAATGGAAAGGCAATGCCTTTGGACACCATGAATGGGACCATTGACCCAGATGAAGATAGCAATGATGAGGATTACGAACCTCCATGTGGACCTGCTTTTGTAGAAGGCGATCTTTGTGGCGTTGTGTTTGTTGAAAAGCGTTATACTGCTGCAGTATTAAATAAACTATTAAGACATATTCAAAAGTCTGATAGTAACTTGCAACACGTTAAGAGCGATTATATAACAGGGCAAGGGCGTGCATCTCTGTCAAATCGAAGTATACAGACAGAAGTACAGTTCAAGAAACAGGAAGAAATTCTTCGACGATTCCGACGCCATGAAACTAATCTCCTGTTTGCAACAAGTGTCATTGAAGAAGGTAAAATTAAGGCAGGCAGAGGATTTGCTTCTTTTTTTGTTGTTATTGTTTGTTTAAATTTTTTGTAAAATTTAATTAGTAACAAAACAATTTCAATTTACCATTTAATTTGAGAAAAATAAATGATGACTGATGTAATTATCAAAAGTGTCAATTAAAGAACTGAAAGCACCCAGAAAATTGTTCATAATATAAAAAGAGCATTAAAGAATTTTTCTTTCCTGCTAATCTGAATGACAAGATAAAAACTGATTAATTTAGAATCATTTAAACTCTTTCGGCTGATGAAACTGTCGTCCATTTCTGTAAGCATTTGAGTATTTGCTGATTGTTGGTTGCAGACTAAAAAGGTTGTCATTCAAAAGCTATCTGTTGCACTCACCTTGTCATGTTGCATCCTTTATGGAATAATGTTGGTCAATGACTGTGCTGCAATGTTGCCCAGCTTATCTTATTATTAATATTACTATCTTATTATTAATATCACTTGCTGTATGTTTACTTTCGTTGCACAGGTGTTGATGTACCACGTTGTAATGTAGTTGTGCGGTTTGACTTACCGAAACATTACCGGTCTTATACTCAATCCAAAGGCCGAGCGAGGGCAGCTGATTCATTTTACATCATGCTCACTGATGTCTCAGAAAGTGAAGAATTTCAAGAGGATCTTCATCAGTTCAGGGAGATTGATAAGGTATTGTGTTGGTAAAATGTGAAAAAAATATGTTAATTTCTTTACGTAGGAAGCGGTTTGGCACAGTGGGACCAGTTTGGTTTTCTAACCTCAAGGTCAGGGTTCAATTTTCACTGTACATTTCACTTGTGCCACAAAGCACTTTGGAGCTTCTCTCCAACCAGGAGTACCTTGTGGGGTTTGCTTGACTGCTCCTGCACTGGTTACAGCAGCAACTGAAATCAGGTGCACCCAATAACCTTCGAAAAAAAGTGCTTATCTTTTGATACTGACAAAGGACTCCGATGGGGTATATGCGTCAAGCACTCCCATAACAAAAGTGAGACGGAAATACAGTGCATCACACATTTTATGTTGGTCCAGACATATGCAGCACCCTTCTCTCTTTATTTAAATGCAAGTTTATCTACATCTGGTTCAGGCGTACAGAGCGTCCTTCTGTTGCTAAGTAAATCCGGACGTAAGCGGCGCCCTTCTCTTTTCGATAATGATGGAAATCAATCAGAGTCCAGTCATATGATTCTGTGCTTTTGTGTTTATCATTTTATTCTTTTGATTTATTTATGCCTACTTGTTTGTATCTTATTAATAATGTAATGATTTATACCTCTGCAAAAAGGAGGTTATGCATTCACAGTTATGTAAGTTTGGAAGAAGTTTTTTAGATCCGGCCGTACGTGTATTTTTCTGTGGAGAACTCTATCTTGTGTTTCAGTATCCTAGGCATCATCGATCTGCAAGTTATTAGGTGTTATTTATATACAGTATCTATGATTTTATTTATTCATATACTGTAAATATATATTGTACTAGTAAATGATTTTGTGTGATTTTTGCTTCAAATCATAAAAGAATGACGCTGTGAAAATAAATAATAATAATTACCTACATAGTAAGTAAAATAGACAAATATTGATGTGTTTATATTGAATTTGTTCAGTTTAGAGAGATCAATGATCAAAGGAATAAAAATAAATGTACTGTAAATAATTTACATTGATAGTCATTCAATGCAATAAAGTTTAATGATGATAATTGTATTTACCCTTGGTGTCCTTCTAAATATTCTACATAGGAACTTGGCTTGGAGGATGCCAATTCCTTGAATCAATATTCTTGTTCAAGATCCCTCATGAATAAATTTATGGTTTATAATAACACGCATAAATAGTTCCCAGTCATCGGATTGGTTGATTTCATACCACGGGACATTAGTTATTTTGCCCATTTCATCGCTCATTGTTGAAATTCTGTCCACCATGCATTTTTTCCATCCGAATCGTCCATTGCATGTTGCCTATGCATAAGAAATGACTTCAACCTGATAAAATCTTTTGATTGGTTAAAAAAATGCGGTACTGACTTTTTCCGGAGGGTTAAATCCATGAAATGATGACACGCCACATATAACCTTTCTCGGGCCTACTTGTCTTAGCGGTGTGCAATGTATCAGAGATATTGTTTACTGTAAACAGCTGTGAAGTATTTTAATTGCATAGATGGTACCCCACAAACTAACTCAAACTTTTTGCAAAAGCTGTGCGGAATTTGGCTTTTATTGCCTGAAATGCACTGACGGATTTCTAGCGTAGATGTAGGCCTATGTTTTGTGCTGACGATAGGCCAGACTAGCTAGGCCTAGGCCCAACCGATCTATTTAGGTGTGTTATAAAATATATAATAAATGTTTTCATTCGTTGAAAAATGACTGTTCCATTCAACTCGTCTCTGCCTTGTTGAATGGAACAGCCAACTCATGAAAATATTTCTTCCAATTGCATTCAGCGTTTAGGCAGTGCTCCATACCGTTAGTATTTTGACGTTGAAATTTTTTAACTAAATTTAGTCTATTTTAATTAGCAACTCATCGAAGAACATCACTTGGGAATACACTAATAGCAGATTTACCGCCATTTGACAATACTTAGTAGGTAATTTTGTGTATTTTTGAATCAGTTTTCTAAGGCAAGTGGAGAGTCTCTACCTGTTGTTTTCAGTCGGTCATTAGCAAGACAAAGCCGGCTCTATTGTTCATTTCACAATTGGCTTAACAACTGAACGTTTTTAAGCGATCGCTTTGCTTTGAATTTTATGCAAGAATGCTACCTGGTACCCGTCGGAGGATCGTTGTGCCTGGAAACGTTGTTTTGTTAGCCTCGATCTTAGTATGGATAGCTTTAACAACTAATCGCATTAATTGCCACCGATATTATCCTGGCAATATAACATGTTGTCGGGTAAGCCATGGTGTTACCCTATTGTTATATATACTGCCGGAACATCCTAACTATAATGTCACACAACGTATTATACATAATAAATATCTTGGTTCAAGAATCCAATACGATAGGAAGTCAACATGTACTTTTCAAATTGAACTTCTTATATGCATGGATATTCATCCTAATCCTGGGCCTGTTACCAATAGGCCTACTGAAAACAGTGTCTCTTGTGTGAATACAAATCGTAAGTCCTTAAATGGACTAAAAATTGCTCACCTGAAAATAAACAGTCTGTATGGGAAAATTAATCTACTTCGTTTGTCAATCAGACCAATTAATGTACATGTTCTAACTCTATGTGAAACCAAGTTAGACGCTACAATATTGGACAGCGAAGTTAATATTCCCGGATACAGAGTTATTAGAAAAGACCGGAATCGATCTGGCGGAGGTGTTGC